GCGACCACGGCCTGAGGGAGCACCGGACTACTCAGCCGCTGCACCCCCTCCCTCGCCCGGCAGCACGCCCGACTCCGCCCTGGGGCCTGCGCACCGCGCGCGCGCAGCCCCGCCCCCCCGAACGCCCATGCGCAGGCGCGAGCCTCAAGGGGCTTGGCCCCGCCCCGGCTCCACCCCCGCTGGTAGACTCCAGCCTCGCCCCGCCCTCGCGCCAGCTTTTCCTCGGCCCCGCCCACTTCCCCGCCCCGCTCGCTGACCTTGCCTGCCTGCCCCTGACTCAGGTGTTTGCGGCCAGGCGCTGACGCTGCTACTGCGGCTGACCTCGCCCGCGCGATACGGCCCGTGGACTAATATTTGCAGCTTGACAGCAGTCAAATCTATCATCAGCTCCTCCTCCAAGCAGAAAAGTTAGGAGTGGCCTGGGCCTGAGGCCGAGGGGAAGGCGCATCTCCCGGGACTGAGATGCACCGCTGTCCTGCATCGTCGCTTTCCGTGTGGGTTCCTTTGGCCAGGAACCAGGGCCTCCTTTTCTTTGAGGCTTACATCACCCCTCTGTTCTTTCTTCTGGCTGGGCCAGTTTTTTGTTTTTGTTTTTAAACCAGAGGCATTCTACCACTTTGAGGTAGGGTCTCATTAATTTGCTTCACTCCCTCCCAGAGTGTTGGGATTGCAGTCATGCACTACCAGGCCTGGATTAGATCAGATCTTGAGAGGCCTTATCCTGAAAGCCTTCCAGATCTGGCCCGCTGGCCAGAGCTGCCCTTATCTGACAGTAGACTAGCTAGCTGCTCCCTGAAATCCTTGCCAGCTGTCCAACAGCTCAGCTACAATAAAAATAACGTTGAAAGGGAGCTTCTTGAAAAATATCCATCTCTTCAATCTCCAAATGAGTGATACTCAAAGGAGAAGGGGAGGAGAGCGCTTGATTTGTAAAATCAGGTTTCACTTAGTAATGTACTTTTCTATTTAGAAAACATCACATCGTTTTTAACATTAACCAATAAATATGAAGATTGAAATTCTTGGGTGATAACATGCATGCTTAAAATGTTGAGAAAGGCTAGGCCTACACACTCTGCCATTTCTCTTTGGATCAAGTGAGATCAGTTCAAAAGCAAGCACCAGACTGAATGCAGCACATCACTCAAGAGATGCCATTACTAAAATGTGCTTTGGGGTTTATGCCATCAGGTACATTGGGAGATGGTAAAGAAATGACTCCCCACAGCACGTCCTTGGGAGTTGAACAAGAAGCTCCATCTTCAACAGTCTCCACATGAGGATCTGAGAAGGAAACCACTCAGTTCCCAAGTTGAGGAAGAGCTAAGCTTTGCTAGACTGCTTGATTGCTACTTTGAGATCCCCTGAATGTTCAAGGTGAGCAAGTGTTCTTTTTTTCTTCTCTTTTTTTTCTTTTCTTTGCTAGTTATTAAGTGATTTCTCTCCAAAAAACCATACTGGATGCTAGCTGCATAGGAATATTTCCTGGTGTCATCTAATTTTCCTTCTTCTCATCTCGTCTTTTGTCCCAATTTCCTCATTTTCTTGGTTGTCATTATGTCACATTGATTCTATTTCTATTGGCCATTTGCTTCAATGTGTACCCATGGGATTTATAAGATGACTGTGATGACACAGAGAGGTCAGTGCACTGAAAAAAAAAATTGTATTAGTTGCATTTCCTGAGAGCTGGGGCCATGCCATGCCATTTAGGGCCCTGGAAAAGTACCAGATTTGGTCAGGAGGCAGAATCCGGAGTGAAGGGAGTCTTGGTCAGAGCTGTTATTGGAGCTTTTGTGGGAAAAGCAAGACAGGGAAGGAGAAGTGTCTTGGGGTTGTCTATTATGAATAATGTTATAGGGTTGTGACCTACAGGGCTGGTCTCTAGTTGTCTCATACCTAGATGGCCCCCAAAGCCTATGTGCTTATAGGTGGGGCTTTGGGGAAGTGATTGGATCACAAGAGTGTGATACTCATCCATGGATTAGTCCATCGATGAGTTTATAGCAAAATGTGATATTAGGAGGTAAAGCCTGGTCTGCAGAGGTAGGCCACTGGGGGCATGGCCTAGAAGGGCCCATTTCCCTCCTCCTCCCTTGATCTCTCTCTCTCTCTCTCTCTCTCTGCTTCCTGCTGCCATGCCATGGACTGTTTCTCCTCTGTGATGCCACTTTGCCATGCCACCAGGCCCTGCAGCCAACCAACTGTACTAAAACCTCTACAGACTGTGAGCCAAAATAAATCCTTTCTCCTTAGAGTTGTGAGTATCAGATATTGTGTCTCAGCAACAAGAAAGTAAATACGACACTAGTTCTGGGTGATTTAGAGCAAGGATAATATTGGCTTAGTGTGTGTGAAAGTTAGATAAAGCCGGTTGAGGAGATAGAGTTGGTACTGGTTGAAAATTACATAATAGGATTTTCACATGCTCACAAACACTGGATTTGGGGACATAGTAAACAATTGTAGCCATTAGTTTAGATGCCAAATAGACAAATACAGAATCTAAGAAAACATTTAGCACACCGCTTACATCATATATAGAAAAGTTTTAGTATTATATATAATACATATAAATAGTATACATAATATACATATCTGACACACATACACACGTACATATTGCATCCTCTGAGGGTCTGACAGCAGTGTATGGCTGAGGTTAGGGGTGAGAGGGTAGACCAAGCTAAGCCTTGCTTCAAATTCTAGCATGCCTCAGAATCCCCTGGAAGGCTTGGCACAGTGGACTGCTGGCTCCCACACCCAGAATTCCTAATTCAGTAGGCCTGGGTGAGGCCCAGGAATGTGCATTTCTATGAAGTTCCCAGGGAATGCCAGAACCCTAGGAGTCACACTCTAAGAACTACCATACATAGAATGCCTCTTCAGCAGTCTTCCAAACCTGATGAGAGGAACCCTCTAGAGTTCCTGAAGGATTGATGGGACACAAAGGATTGCTGTCATGTGGGCAAATATCACAACTGTGGCAGTTTTCCACACAGGCCAGGCAGGGGAGATAACAGCTGAGGAAGCCAGCATGTGACTCCAGCCCCCAAGATGGGAGAGAAGGGAAAAAAGCCCAAGCATGGCAGATGGTACAAAATGCCATGATAGGAATGTACATGGCTAGACCACCCTTCTTTCGTGTGTGTGTGTGTGTGTGTGTGTGTGTGTGTGTGTGTGAATGAGTCTGATGGTGTCAGAGCACAGAGACTGGGAGTGAGGTGACCTTGCAGAGTTGCAGCCTGAAAGTCTTTGTTCAGACATCAGAACCCAGAATATGTGTGTGTGGCAGCTGGCGGGGGCTGCAGAGTGGGGGAAGAGAAGAGTCTGGCTTAGATGTGTGCAAGGATCATATTACCTTGGGTGTAGGGAAGAGTCCGCAATGTATAATTATTTATACATTTTTACGGTGAATCTTTTCAATCTATATTGAGAGAAGTATGTATGTGTTATACACTAAATGTTTGTCTCCCCTCAACATCCAGTGTTGAAATCCTAACACCCATTGTGCTGCTACTCGGAGGAAGGGCCTTCAGGAAGTAATTGGGGTTAGATAAGGTGATGAGAATGTGGGCCTCTTGTGGGATTGGTGTCCTTGTAAGAAGAGGGGGTGACACAGATCTCCACCTCTGCTCTCCACCAAGAATCCAAACAGACAGGCATCAACAAACAGGAAGTGGATGCTGACCAACACCAAGTCAGCCTCCGCATCCAGAACTATGAGGAGCACCTGTGTGCATTGTACACTGCCAGTCTCTAGTAATTCGTTATAACAGTGCAAACTGAATATGATGAAACACCTCAGTATAAACCTAATTGGAAAAATTAGGCAAAGACTTTTTCCACAAGTCTAATATACACATGTACTCAATACAATCACATTTTAGAGAATTTTCCTTAATTTTGTTGGCATCCCTAATTGGTTCTGTTTGGGTTAATATTCATTGGGGGTCTTTTTCCCCCTTAAACAATCCAGATTTACTATTTTATAACTGGCAGACAGAAATCCAAAATAGGTCCAACTGAGCTAGCATCAGGGCATTGGTAGGGCTGTCTCCAAGGGTAGACAGGTTTCCTCACCCTCCTCAGCTTCCAGAGGCCACTCAGGAGCCTTAGCTCATGTACCTTCCTCCACCTCAAAGCCAGCAAGGGTAGTATGAGTCCTTCTCACAGTGCATCCCTCTGATCTCCTTCCTGCCTCAGTTTCCCATTCAAGGACCCTGTGATTCTGTTGGGTGCAATTCAGTGATCCAGAATAACATCCTTATTTTAGGGTCCACTGATTAGCAGCCTTAATTCCATTAGCAACCTAAATTCCCTTTTGCTAGGGATTCTCCTTTGACATGAGAGAACTTCTTGGCAGGAAGTTTTAGCAGTACTGCACACGACTATGTGCCAGGAGCTATTCCACATACGTGGGATTAAGTGATGACAGGGCCAGGGTCTATGGGACATGTCCTACAGGAATCACTAGTTCTGCCCAAAGCAGTATGATGGGACCTCTAGGCTCCCATGGTTCACAGGGGGCTTCTCTGTTGGCCTGACTGTCGGCTGGCAGATACCTGGATGCCTTCCAGCACCTAGAGTTCCAGCAATGGTAGTAAACACTCTTTCCCGCAGGGAATCAAGGTTCCAAGTTCTGGTCTTCTGTTGACGATGGAGAAAACCTGCATCTCAGCCATGAGGATGACAAAAGGGAGCAGAGTCAGATGATTATTTATGAAGTTTTTTTTGGTAATGTGGATTGAACTTTAGGCCTTCACACTGTACTACATCCCCAGCCCTTTTTTTTTTTTTTTCTTATTTTGAGACAGGTTGTTATTAACTTGGTAAGTTGCCCAGGCTAGATTGGAATTTGTGATGCTCCTGCCTCAGCCTCCCAGAGTGCTGGGAGAGATTACCAACTTATAAAGAGAAAATTGTTACCTAGGTTCACAGTTCTGAGGTTGTCTCCACTCCTTTGGGTCCTGGGTGAGAAGCACAGGGTGCTGAGGAGCATGTCAGAGGAGAGCTCATGACCAGGGAGAAAAAGCGAGGAAGGAAGAAACTGGGGTTCCAAAGTTACCAGCCATTGTCGGCCCCAAATGACCAAGGGCCTCCCCTGGGCCCTGCCCCTTGCAGGCACCACCTCCTCTAGTCCTCCCCACTAGCCACCTGGGCACTAAGCTCTCAGCACTGGGCCTTTGGGGACACCCCACTCCCAGGTGTAGCACTTCGTTACTGTGTTTTCTGTTCTGAGTGTTAAGTACATCTGTATTTTTGTTTCCATTTTTATTGTACCAGGTATCTAAGATAACTTTTCATATGATAATTGCTTTAGTGGTATCACAGATTACATGTCCTGGTTTGGTTTGCTGTTGTGGTACTTGGGATTCAACTGAATGCACCACCACGCCCAGCCTATGTGTCTTGTCTTTGTTCTGCATTGTACTAAAAAAATTCATCATTTTATTTTCTTTTTAATTCAAAGACTTGCTTCATAGAGTGTCTTTAAATTCTTATGAAAAGATAATTTTTTTCTTTATAAGTTGATTTTCCTTCCCAGAACTTAGGGAGGTTGGGGCAAGAAGATCACAAGTTTGAGCCAAGCCTGGGCAACTTAGCAATTTCATAAGAACTTGTCTCAAAATAAAAAATTAAGAAAGGGCTGGGGATGCAGGATTTTTATACTTAAAAATGTCTACTCTAATGTTCAGTTTTGTTGCATTATAATCATAGAACATTTGCATAGTTCTATTCTTTAGAATGTCTTAAGAGTTTCTTGATGGTCTAATATCTGGTCAAGTTTCTTAAATGTCCCAAAGCCCCTGTGGTTCCGGCTCACCTATAGTCAGGAGCAAGGAAACATCTCTTCTGTACCTAAGGAGTTCCCGGGGCACACCCTACCATGCCCAACCCCACCGTGGCCTATGCTGAAGTTTCACATTAAAGGATTTACCACACAGGGCCAGAGAATGATTGCGTCTAAACTAGCACCTATAGATAACCACTACTATGGCTGGCAGCAGGGCTTTAAAAAATAAATATTAAAATCCACTTCTCAAGTATTTTTGACTAGATGCTAGTGTCATGCTTAGAATTAAATTTTAAAAGAAAAGCAAAATTCAACACAACAAAGCCTGCAGCTATATCAGAATCGATCTCTCCCGCATGGAAAATCAAGATGAGTGTTGTTCAAAGTTGAGATGGGGGCATCAAGTTCTTTTGATGTCTCTCTACCATTCCTGCAGCTCAGCTCTTGGTATTTAGGCTAAACTCTCCTTGAGTTTCCTTGGCTAAACCCTCCTTGAGTTTCCTTAAAGTCTTTCTCCACTGGGCCTGACTTTTGGACTAGTGTGCTGGTCTCTAGGTTGCCCGGTTTTAGGGTTTTAGCA